TCCATTGCCACTCATGAGCGGCTGATAGCCACCCTCCATTATCTGGCTACAGGGCGAAACTGCGAGGACTTAAAGTTTTCAACAATTATAGCAGCCCCAACCCTCGGACAAATAATCCCGGAAACCTGCAGTGAAAGCGAAGTGAGAGATGGATCTCTCGAAATAATTATCTCCCAGAAACGTTCGGTTTCCTGAGAATGCACATAAGTTATTAGTATTATCCGCAGCTGTGCAAACTCGATAGGCCAATTTCCATTCGTAATAAACAACGTTCTCAAAATCGACATTAATAGTGCTTGTTTTAGTTTTTTAAATCGAAATTGAAAGAAAAATGTGACTTAGCAAAGCAAAAAACCGTCGAGTTGGAACGATGTGTACTTAGACGGTCCGTTTGGCCTGTCATCGTTCCAAACCGACGGGTTTATTTTCTGTTCCAAACAGATTTTTTACCCCCCGTCCAAACCGACGGTTTTCACCCTCAGACGATCGGGTTTTCCATCGGTTTGGCCCGACGGTTCGACCCGACGGTTCAAAACGGACGGAAAAACCGATCGTGTAAGCCCGGCTTTACAGTATGTTGGTCCGATTTTTAGTTTCTGCGTTATTAATATTAATCCATATCTTCAATAACATTCGTTATCATTTGGTTTTCGACACTATTTTTTCCCCTTTTCTTCTCTCTAAAGAGCCCCTAAAGAACACGGTCAATATTATTGAAGAAATATAATTGAAGGCAATATATTGAAGGGGTACCTCATACAGTTCAATTATATTGAGTCAATATATAAGTTCAGATATTGCTTCCACAAAAGGAAGTTTCCAAAGAGGTAATCTTTCTTTCTTGTGGAAATGAATTTACTGTTACTTTAATTGCCTTGGATTTAGCATTAAAAAATGTATACATACTTGCTGAACCGTGCGAATACTTCGCACAAACTTTATATTTGTATGTTCCATTCAGTAATGTTTCTATGCAAAGGTTTAATACTTTTATTTAGTAAGTTATAAGTTTATAAATATAATAATCTATACCCATCCTGTCTAGTTTCATTAAATTTATAATTATAATATTATATTTTTTCTTAAGTTTACAAAAGCTTCTAAACATTGCCTCTAAATATCTGATGAAGGCTAAATACTTTGAATTTAGTTCTCTGAAAGGTACGTTTTGATCTAGCAGTCCGTTTAACAGAAAAAAAAAATGAAAAAAAAAATGTTTCTTTTGTCATTAAAAAAAACCAAGTAAATTTTTAAAATGATAAACATCTAATAGCTTACATATAGGTAATATTTTATTTAAAATGAAGTATATAACATTCCATATTTATAGCAATATAACAAATTTAATAATTAATTTTACAAAACCAAATGTTTTGAAATTAGCTACAATAATTACTTATTGATACAATGTATACTGCATCAGGAAGAAAAGCGTCATTGCCCAAAATTTTAAATTCCGAATGAAGAGCAGAAGAGAAAATCGTGTAGATTAAGAAATACTTTTATATTATTTTCATTGTAGTGCTACCAATGGGTAGTTTCTCTTCATGTTGTACATGTCATGTTCATTCATTCATTCATGTATGGCACAACATCCCGTCACCGAGACTGGGCCTCCTCCAAGAGCCTCCGCCAGTTGACTCTGTCTTCTGCTGCAGCTCTCCAGTTCCGCACACCAAGCAGGGTTCTCGCATCATAGGCCACGTTGTCCAACCATCTCGTCCTCGGCCTTCCTACCCGTCTTACGAGGTGCAGCTCCTCCATCATTATTTTTTTTGGTATTTCAAGGGTGCTCATTCTGGCCACATGCCCTGCCCACCTTAGTCTGGCCAGTTTAATATACGTGACTACGTCGATGTCTGCATAGAGAGAACTGAGCTCCCTATTTTTTCTTTTCCTCCAGACATCACCCTCCTTTACTGGACCATAAATCCTTCTGAGGACTCCTCGCTCAAAGACACTCAGCTTCATCTCATCCCTTTTAGTCATCGTCCAAGCCTCTGAGCCATATGTCAAAACAGGCCGAACAAGGGTCTTGTATATGATCAGCTTGGTCTTTTTTGAGAGGTACCTACTTCTTAAGTGTCGGCCAAGTCCAAAGACACATCTATTGGCAGCCGTGATCCTTCTTTGTATTTCTTGAGCCATGTCATTCTTGCTATTGATTTCAGACCCAAGGTATATAAAACTTTTCACTCTCTCAAACTTAAAAGAACCTACCTCAAATGGAGAGTTCAGATCCACCTCACCGCCAACTCTCATATACTTAGTTTTCCATTCGTTGACTTCTAGACCAAGTGGTCTTGCAGCTGCTTCAAGGCTTATAAACGCTTTTCTGAGAGCCCGTTCAGACCTACCTACTATGTCAATATCATCAGCAAAACCAAGAAGCTGTGTCAGGCGATTGAAGATTATATCTTTGGTCTGAATACCGGAGTCTCTTACAGCTTTCTCCTCTGCCAAATTGAACAATAGACAGGCGAGGGCATCCCCTTGCCTAACCCCACTGCTCACTTTAAACTCTTCGGAGTCGTCAGAACCGACGCGTATTCTGCATCTCGAGCTGTCCATGGTCATCTTGATTAGGCGTACGAGCTTCTGAGGGATGCTTAGCTCCTCCAAGGCACAGTATAGTTGCGTTCTATCAACGCTGTCGTATGCTGCTTTAAAGTCCAGGAATAAATGGTGGGTGACTACCTTACGCTCCATAGTCTTTTCTAGGATCATCCTCAGAGAGAACAGTTGATCAGTCGTTGAGCGTCCTCTTCGAAATCCAGCCTGATATTTCCCCAGTTCCTTTTCAGAATACGGGAGAATCCTCTCAAAAAGAATGTTAGAGAGCAGTTTATAAGCACACGAAAGGAGTGAGATTCCTCGATAGTTAGCGCATTCTGTTTGATCTCCTTTCTTATGTATTGGGCAGATAATGGCTGCTGCCCATTCCGTAGGCATAGCTTCCCTCTCCCAGATGGTCAGCATTAAATCATGCAGAGCTTTCTTAAGTTCTTCACCTCCACATTTCAACAGCTCTGACTGGATTCCGTCCGGGCCTGGCGCCTTTCCATTTTTGAAGACTCCCTGAATTCTATACATGTCATGTTACTTGTTCATATTTACTTGTTGTATTTATTATTAATTACAGTTGTAAATTTCTTTAATAAAAAAAAAATTATTTCTGTTAAATAAGAAAATCTACTAATAAATTTATAATATAGGAAAAAGCTTTATTTTATCCTTATATATCTATTCCATGCTTTAATTCATTTAAATGATCCATGCATGGAGTATATATATATATATATATATATATATATATATATATATATATAAATGATTTTTCCTCCACATTATGAATTTTATTATTAATAAATACCCTTGAAAAATATTAAAGATTAAAAAAAAATTAAATTCTACTAAAATATACTTGATGAAAACAATCATTACTACAATAGATTTAAAGTTTTTGAGTAATCCAAAACTAAAATGAAGAAAACAATCTTTAAATTAGAATTAATACTAAATGTTTAAAACGCTATATCTTTGCACCACGTAATCCGATTTCGATGACTTTTTTACGTTTTGTAGGGAATTTAGTAAGGTTCCAAATACTCATAATGGGCATAATGGGCCAAAAATTGTGTCCTTTCCGAGTTATTCCCCAATTATGACTCCATTTGTAACGTCTCGATTCGTTTAGGCGGCACCATCATACGGTTTGAAACCTCCCACTTTTTCATTCGCTTCTATTTAAGTCCAAGTATAAAATTAGGAATCAAAATTACGATTCGCGCATTCCACGCGATGTTCCCTTTCTATTCATACCTCATTCGTCAAAATCCATCACTCCTCAGAGCCGGAAAAGGGATATATATTTGAAAAATAATATATAAGATAAGATGTTTTTTTTGTAATGTTTATTTTCTTCCTAGACATTAAAACGTTTTTTATTTCAGTATTTTTTATTAGTTCTGTTCTTGGTTCCTAATTATTTAATTTTGAAACATAATATCATTATTATGTTCGGAGGGGGAGGGGTTAACCACTTTTCTTCCATAAAAAATAAAAGTAAAACAAAGTATCATCCACCTATGCAAACATATTGCCATTTTATCTTTTTAAAAAAATTTGGAGGGGGACTAAACCCTTCCCCTCCCAAAAAAAATAAAGATAAAATAAAGTAAAACCTCCCTCTTTCTCATTCTCACAAAATGGAGCTTTATCAATCTGGAAATTGTTCCCCTTTGTTTATTTAATGAGATAAATAAAACTAATGAAATCCCATTCGCTTTCTATTTGTATTGTACAATAATATGACAACAAATTTGAGAAACAAGATGGCCTACAAAATTATTGGGCCGCTTGGCGTGACCTTCACCCCCAATCTTTTTGTAGACCACATGTTCCCCCAGTTTGTGATCTAATTATCTTACAATTTAAGAGGAAAGTAAATGGCTAAGCATCAATTTTGATTACCTTATTAAATGAAGGAGAAAACACCTTATTTCTGAGAATATTTGTAAAGTTATAGGTTACGATAAGATGAAGTCATTCACGAAGTTTTAGTCGGATGTTAATAATTTGATAAAAAAGAGTATGTACCGCGAATTACTATCCCAAATATCCCATCCACATGTTCTGGTACATGGGGTTTCGACTTATGTCTGGATCCTTATGTCTAGACATCTCTATTTATAATAAATTATCTTTTCTGATCTTCGAACGCTTAAAATGTAATAAGATTAATAGTAAGTCAAATAAATAAAGCATAAAGGCTTGGAATTAAGTATCATTCTATAGTTTCTGAGTAAGCTCAAATGGAAGAATAATTGTTAAGTAAATACAAATTCAATAAATTTATTTAAAGTTATAAGATTTACAAACACAATCTTTAAAAAACGGAAGATCTGACAAGAGTCTTTGAAAAAAATTTACTTCATTTAGTTGAAATATAGGTATACAAAAAAAAAATTATAAAATATATTCAGCAGGCATTTTTTCACCATGCAATGCTGCAATGATATTTTTAGCTGTTATTATGCACATTACATCCCTAGTTCCATAAGTAGCACTTCCAATATGTGGGGTAAGAACTGCAAAAACAATTATTAGTAATTAATAATACGATAAGAATATTGTTTAGGTAAGTAATCAATGATTTTGCGCAAAAATATTCATCATTTTAATAATGAGTTTCAAAATGATGTTATACAAATCATAACTATATAACTTAAGCATTCTTTTATGAGATTCAAACATAACTTACCACAATTATCAAGGCCTATGAGAGGATGATCTATTGGTAAAGGTTCAGGATCCATTACGTCTAAGCCAGCGGCAGCAATAATTTTATTTTTGAGAGCATGCACAAGAGCTTCGTGATCAACTATTGCTATAAAAATATGTTTTTCAATTTAAAGCAAAAGAATCGATTTTAAATATTTAAATTTTTATGTGGTATATAAATAAGGATTAATACAATTTTGTCAGTCATCTGAGAAAGAACCTGACAAAATCATCTTTAAAGAACCTAAATGGAGTACCCATTTTGATTAATCAGGGATCAAAATATCATTTTAAAAAAATCATCTCAGGACAGTAGTGGATTCAGGACATCATTTTTATTGGAATTAAAAAAAAAATTGTTTTATTGTAATGGGAATTACTCTGAAATTAAAATAAAAAACTATTAAAAATTATGTTAAATTAGTCCTTGAAGGCGTGTTAGAAAAAATAATTAATAAATATAAATTTAAAAAATGTATAGGAGCAGTAATTCTTTTAGGGATAAATGTTTTTCTTGACACATACCCTTATAGCTGTATATGCATTATGTAATTTAAAAATAGTACATGCGATTGTTATTTAGCTCAGATGATTCAAAGAAACAAATTGGAGCTATATATATATATATATATTTATGTACTTTTTGGGAAACAAGCGTCGTTGGTTTATAATATGATGAAGTATTCCCTCTACATTATTTATTTTAAGTTAAAGTACGTACGATTTCATCTTGGAGGCGAAATTTGACGGAAGAGCCAAATGGTCAAAGCCATTAAAATAGACCATTCGTAGTTGCATAGGCGCCGACTTCGCGGAGGTGAAGAGTGGGACATCGCCTCCTCCCCCCCAATAAAACTGTTGAGGGAGCGAGAATATCGTTTTCCCTCCCAATAATTTTATGTAAAAAAAATTAAAAACAATAATAAATAAGCTATGAATGAACGATTAAGAAAAGTCAACTAGCCGACTAGGCAACTATTTTATTGATACCTAAATCTTACTTTTACTTAAATATTCATTTATATTCAAACAAAATAATCTGCATCAACAAACTTTAGGATTTTATGATTCACAAACTCCTAAATTTTTACGTGATATTCTTATCACATTTTCCGCGACAAACTAGTCGGACTGTGAAAAACGTATTTTTATTTGAGATTATACACATTATATAATTTTAAGATATTTTTGTTTTTATATTATTAATTTTAGCTAAAAAAGTTCTTGAAGTGTAACAATTTTATGAAGGCTGCCTCCCCTCCTCCCTGGGTCTACTTACATATTTACTTAATCCGGCAAAAAAAAAAAAAAAAAATCCTTACACCTATACAAAGATATAAACAAATTAATTTTAAATATTCAATATTATATTGGTTCTTTTCACAATAAGTATGCAGAATTTTTACACATAATAAAAACTCCGGCCATTTTTTTTTTTTGTCCATCGCTCCTCCTCTTCCAATCAAAATCGAAAGTCTACGCTTAAGGGTTGTTGGATGAGGGGAAAAAAAATCAAATAGTCGGTTTGTACTATTCAGTATTGAGATTCAGAATTTCACGGGGGATTAGCGAATCGTATTCTCCACTTTTGTTTTTATTTCTAAAATAAATAAAGTCGATACATACATTTTGCTATGCTTCAATACTGGAACGGTGGTAGATCTGTAGATCGATATGGGACAAATTGGACCTTGAAGATTTTGATGCGCACATTTAGACTCGGATAGTTCCTTCGGAAATATCGCATCCTACGTTTTGAAACCCAAGAACATACTATTTTCGAGATAACGCAAGGCATAGGTTTCGCATCCACACAACCTTACGTTAATTGTAGTACTGTCATTGAATACATGTCTCATTTCGTCGTCTTGAGGCCTCTATGATCGAGAGAGGAGGAGTTTATATTACTTATCGATAATGTTTTTGATCGGCAAGCCATATCATCGTGAATTCTTCACCAAATCTCAAGACTGAGCCACCAATTTCGAAGACTTTCTTCTCCTTCAGGCGTCAAAATTGTACAATCACCCCGAAAATTCAGGCAAACAAGTTATGAAAGAAAAAAAACTTTATTTGCGAATAACTAATAAATTTCACACTTTTCCCCTGGGTTAAGCCCATGATTATATAAAAGATTTCTAAATTCCCTACAAAAGGAAAAAACAAATCATCGAAATCCGACAATTTTTAGCAAAAATACAGATTATCGAAATTTATTAACATGTTGGTTCCAAACATTAATGAAGAGTTAATTTTTGTTTCCTTTTTCGCTTATATTTATCGATAAAGTAACAATTGATTTCTTTATCTTTTGAAACGTTACATTATTTTATTTTCTTATTAATGTGGCATTTGATAACAATATGCTGTGCGAATTTTTTTCGCACGGGCCTATTAGTTAATTATAATTTTAGTGAATTTATATTTACATGCATTAGTTACCTCCTCTAGTAGTATTTATAAAAATTGCAGAACGCTTCATCAATGAGAATTTCTCAGCAGTAAACATACCTTCCGTTTCAGGTGTCAAAGGACAGGCAACGATAACGAAATCACTTTGTCGAAGTAGATTATCGAGGTCTATGTATTCTGCCCCTAATTGATCACCTGAAAATAAAATGATAATATGATAGTTTAATATATATATATTTGTGTTAAATCTGTGCTTAAAGCTACAGGTAAATATCTTTGATGGTATAATAGTAGTAAATTAAACCTTCAAGTTTTCTTCTGGGACCTGAGTAAAGAATTTTTGATATTCCAAATGTTATCAGTTTTTTCGCTACTGACTGTCCAATTCGACCAAATCCCACAAAGCCAACTATTGATTTATAAAGGCCTCGACCGCACATGAATGTAGGAGTCCACATTTTCCATTCGCCTCTGAAACAAAAGAAAAAAAAAATGTAAAAATGGACAATATATTTATTGTTCATATTAATATTTATATAATGAAGCGAAGAATAGTTGGGGTGGTTAGTCAAAAAGGAAGGTAAAAATAAATGATAATATTTATTTTTACATATGCCGACGTTTCGACCTGAAGTTCAGGCCTTCATCAGGGCTGTCTCCTTAAGTGTTGCAGGGAGAATCTCCCTATTCTCCCTGCAATCTCCGTATTCTCCCTGCAACACTTAAGGTTGAAACGTCGGCATATGTAAAAATAAATATTGACATTTATGTTTGCCTTCCTTTTTGACTGACCACCCCAACTATTCTTCTCTTCATTATCCACGACAGTCAACCAATCACCAATTATCAATATTTATATAATAATGGAATATAGCTTGATGCGTAATAATATTGTATTGTAGTTAAGCCAAGTTCAATAATAATTTTTAATAAATATGTTTGAGCATTGAATATGGTTGAGCATATTAATCATTTTAATATTTAATCCAGTTACAGGAAGAAAGGAAGCGAAGTCAGACTGAGAATCATTGTTCTGACATGCAAAAGAAAGTTTGAATAAGTTGGTTTCCAAGTTTCTAAAGATGCTAATATGGAAGGTTATGACTGGACGGAAGGGCAATAGATCCCAAAATTAGTAAATGGCCATTTAATCAAAGTCTGATCTACTTACATCACTAATTACTTAAGATATTCACTCAAACAGTAATATATTTGTCCTAAAATCTATATTTTCTATATAATATATTTAAAATCTATATATTATTGCTACTTCTTTTTTATATTAAACGATGATTATTATTTCTAGAATTTTCAGAAATATTCCTATGAACCAAAATATGGAAAAATATCGAGCATGGAGAATGAACACATTTTTTCCCACGTTCCCAGGCCTTTGATCTATGTGATAAAATTCTTATGTTTAATCTTGTTTAGAAAAAGCAAAAATTTGTCAGTTCTCAACAGTAGTTTACATTAAAAAACAGATACAAACATTCAAAGCGCCAAACTAAAAATTAGAACAGACAGACTGAATGCCCTTGAGGATGGGTATAGAGGATAATCCCACTCTCTTTTTTTTCTAATAATACCATTTTTAAACTGATTGTATCAGTATTCCTTCGTTTTCAAATGAAAACATCGTCAAACATTTTTATTTGGGAGAAAATGAACATTGTTTCTTTTTTTTCTCAATAAAAAAACTTTTATATATATATATATATAGCTAGATATTTATACATGCAATACTAATTAATGTATACAAATCAATTCGAGTTTAATATAGGTGATAAATTTATATCACTCTTTAATCAGAAATCACTATAATCCACCTGTTCTATCGATTTCACTCACCCTGTTTCCTGGTAGATGAAGATAATAAAAAAACAAACAAAAAAAAAAGATAATATATATTTTTTTGCTGGGATTAATTAGAATCTGATATTATTCGTATTTTAGATCCAGTTTCGATTACATAACGATGTTTAACATGTAAAATATATATGATGTTATAAAAAGGAAATCAGTTTAAAATAATAATTATGTCTAAGTTTTGAAAATTTACATTTCGAATTTAGTCAAACATAATAATAAAAAAAAAAATAATATATAAAGCCCCAACTTTATTAATATTTACCACAAGGAGCATTCTTAAGTAAAGGTACTTTCTGATTGACATAGGTTAAAAATATATTGACAGCCAAATCTCCGTAAGGACAATTTAAAATTATGTTTTGATCTTTTTTGGTCAATCTTGTTCTGGCGCATATTCTGATCCCACAAATTAAATCTAGGATGTTTCGTTTTAGTTCAGTAACATTGTACATCGTAAGTTGCATTGAACAAGGGTTGAAGGTTTAATTTTACTATCTTGTATGGGATATCACTGAGATGCAAAATCCAAGTTTCCGATCTCGGCGCCTTCCTCGGATCGATTTTGAATATTCCAAAAACTTCTTTTTTTAGCACTTTTTTTTTAGTGTTCTCCATCTTATGCATGAAGGAGCACGTTTTCGACAAAAAACATTTCATGCATATTTAAACTAGTTTAAATATTGCTATAGTGCCCTCCATCAGTTTCCACTGGTTTCAAATAACAGTGACGCGGCTGAGAGAGAAGCACTGGGATCTCCTGGAGTTCTGCCTTGGCTTCCACCTCGGGGAATAAGGCATGACTCAGAGTCCCCTGGGTGAATGTAAATATTGTACATCGGTGTGAATGTGATTTATTTACTTTAATTTCATCTAGCTTTTATCTATTATTTCATTATTTTTTTTGTACACAGGCATACCAATTTACTTATTTTTTTTTTTTTATATTTCTTTTTCTTTATTATTGTTATTAATTGTACGTACATATTGTGTGAATGAATCATGTAGCCTTAATATTAATGCCCTTCTATGTGGCAGAATGTATTAATATTCAATAAAGAAAGTTAAAAAAAAGTTTAAATATGCTACAATTTAAGACCAGACTCAGGCTCAGTAAATCAAAAAGTTTACGACTTACAGATTTTAAAATTCTAGAAATTTTATTTTCCATGTTTCATTCATCATATGCACTTGTCTTTTATTTTGAATGACCTGTGTGATATGAGTCGGTGAACTAAATATTTATTCTGAGAAGGCGTTGATCGGGGGTTACGGTCAAATAAGTACTAAATTATAGAAATAGTATTATTTCAGTGTTTTCAACTGGCTCCCGCAGTGCTACACCCCACGCCTTGATGAAGACCTGCAAAGTGGGTCGAAAAATCGGCATAAAAAATTAAATAATACTATTTCTATAATTTATTATTTATTTGACCGCACCCCCCGATCAACTCCTTCACATATTATATCACGGTCAACCATCTCTACATCATAAATATTTATTCATTTTAATATTTTGATGGAGAGGGGATGGATGGGTGGAAATATTTGGTGGAAGAGAATAATCCGTGGGCCAGGCCAATTTCCAGTGCACCACTCCCTCCACATTACTGTAAATTACATATTGTTGTGTTTCTTGTAACTAAATATTAATAAAACGCCAATGTTCACACAAAAAAAATTAGCCGCACTGTTCCAAAACGGCGTCCAAACACGGCGGAATGACGAATTAGACTTGGCAAAGTCAAAAATAATTGGCTATAAAAAATACCAGTAAAGTCAATTTTTTCAAGCGGTTCAAACTAAAGTTGAATATCAAATGTTGTTTGTAATTAAACGGCCAACAACAACGAAAAACTCCTTGAAACAAAACATCTAGAGAATACATTTATCTTTCTAAATCACTGATTAATCTTTATTATATTTGAAAAGGTTCTTTAGAAAATGCAATTAATCAGTGGAAAAGCGGCACTGGCGTAGGCACCTAAAATCCTCTTGCCACCTCATTCGGTTCTAATAGATACCACAGTTAAAGTGACACTCTTCATCTGCCTATTACATATTTCTTCCACTAAATAATGTTTCCATCAGTTCCTTGTTATATTTTCAAAGATTTTGGATCTTATCAACACTAATCACAGAATTAATTTTTTCTAGCGTTTTTTTCTTCTTCGCTTTTGTTATATATTTTGCTATGGTTTGTCCCCACACTGGTTTGTCCTAGCGCTGGTCTCTGCAATTAAATTTCTGAGTCAGAGAGAGTTTTGAAGGTGCGGTAAGCCCTTTTTTTTTTGTTGCCCGGTTATTAATAAGAAGTTCGAACGCAATAAATGACTCAGGTCATTCTGACTCCTTATTTTATCAATTAGCGTATGATATTAAATTCATATAAATCAACATAGGGTCTCTATATATTATTATTTATAGGCATTTCTATATCCATGTATGCCTACTCCTTCAAAATAATAAATTAAATAAATGTTTACTTCACTAACTCTTATAAGGCAGGTTATTGTAGACATAAACATGAAAACAGCTTAACATTTTAAAGTTTCGAAAATTTCATTCACATCATTTACAATTTTTGTATGCACTTGATTTAAATGTTGGTTGAATATTTAATCTAGTTTAAAACTGCTACGGAGTCATTTTTGTCGAAAACGTAGTCCTTCATGATTAAAATGGGGAAAAACCGCAAAAAGTATATATGTATATATTATACCGAAAATATAATGTTCAAGAAATAAAAATTGCGCAGTTTTTTATGTTTCATAAAAATGTTTAGGTTTTGTTCTTACAGGCTTTTGCATATGGAATTACGACAACTCTAATTTTGAAGAATGGGAATTAAAAAAATACAACCAAATGAGAACAGTTAAATTGGGACTGTCGGCATTATAAACTTGTCTTGTTCTTTGTAGTTTTGAAAACCTGCAACATGGGCCAAAACATAGGCATCCAATAAATACTAATAATTATTTGCTGTTTATTCTTCTCCAACAATCGAATTATCTATTAAAATAAATAAATAAAATTCTTCTATTTTTCCTTTTTTTTTGCGAAGCTGTACGATATTCCCTGTTTTTTGGCAATGATATACAAATATACAACAATTGATTTATTTGTTGAATTTGCATGCTAAAGTTTCGGGAAATTTACTCTCAAACAAATAATCACATCCAAAGGTTAATAGTATCCCCAATAGCAGTCACCCAATGATTGGTCTATAGGAACGATGGGGCTCTGGATATTATTATATACTGTAATTTATCTATGACATAAATTTAAAACATGGATCAAAGGAGCACATCAGATTTAATGTAATTACAAAATTAATGTAACAACGTAACTATAACATGTATTGTAACATGCATTATTTTTTAACTTACTCCTTTTTAGCCATGAATCGACAAGAGACCATGGGATTGTAAGTTCTGAAGATGGGAGTAAATTTCCCGAAACGTTAACATTTAACATTGATTCAACAAATAAATCAATTGTTGTATATTTGGAAGTTATCATTGCCAAAAAAATAGAGGGTAAATAAAATTATTAAGTTGAAATAATAGTCAAGCAACGACATATTACTGGAATAACCTTAACCATGTACATAAAAAGCGTATTATATACATTGCTGTAAATCAAAGATTAAATAAAAAAAAAATGTAAAAGTTAACACTAATAAATTATAGTACCTAAGAATTAGCTGGTGTCCTTCCACAACACGCCTGGATGTAGCAAGTAATAAAGCAACGGTGTGTTCGGCAGTTGATTCGAATACTTGGGGAGTGTGACCAAGTTTAATAGAAGTTCTTTTTAACGCCTCTAAGTCAATATGGTCAAGCCCAATGGACATTGAACAAATCACTTTCACTCCATTTTTGGCTATAATTACAATGAAAAACAAAACAGAAACGTTTTAATGAAATAGAAAAACAACACAATAAATTACATTGATGGTGAATAATCATGGAGAAATACAGGGAATATGTTCAGATGGTCTTTTTTTTAAACTATTTATTCAAGATATTTACAAAAGTATTACAATATAAATACATCAAGCAAATGTGTACAAAGGAATATAATAACATGAAAACGCTTGTTGAGAAAATAGCCATTGGTAGCACTCTAATAATATGTCTATATCAGGAGATCACGAGGTCATCTTCTTTTCAGACACCTCGGAAGGTTATCAGGAATCGAAGAGGAAGTAAGGTTAGAAACGAGAGGATTCCGATGGTTATGAAGTTATTATGGAAGAATAGATATCTGGATTGGGCCAAATCGGAAACATATGGAACATTATTAAGGTCTTTATGGATTATGATTTGTGACAAAGTAAGGAGCATTGAGGATTTTGGATTGTAAGGTTTGGAATATAAGAGGAATTTGATGGTTTATTGGAGCCCCATAGATCAACTACGTAAGTCCGAATAGGTGTCATTATAGTCATGCATATTAGTCTTTTATAATTGATTGGAAGTTTAGAGCGTTTGTCTAGTAAGTGTTGGAGTAAGCGGAAACGTCGAGCAGTTTCTTGTCGTTTCAGTCTTGTATGAGGATTCCAACTGAGACGTTTGTCCAGGTGGAGTCCTAGGTATCGGATTTGTTCAACAGGGATAAGTGGAATATTATTAAAGGATAGGACAGGAAGTCATGGGTTTACGACGAAGGGTAAAGGTGATTTGTTGGAATTTATTTTAATCCTCCAGTTTTGACACCATTCTTCTAGGTTTGTCATGTGTGATTGATGAGTTTGGGATGCAATTGATGGATCGTTATTAACTGATAAGATACATGTGTTAACGCCATAGGTGGTGATGACAATGTTAGGATGGGTTGGGATATCAGCTGTATAAACTGTGTAAAGGATAGGACCAAAGATACTACCTTAAGGATCATATGATATCATAGCCGGTCTGTTAGTTTAACCTACTTTCACAAAAATTTCATTGTTTAGTAAGCTTTAATTGTATATATATTTAGTTAAGGTTTATTGCAGAATTGATAATGTTGAGATGATTTGATATTTTGTCACTCCAGTGTACTTGTTTCTTTTCAGCAAAAATAACAACCGTGAAATTGTTATAAAGTTTTGATTATTTCTTTTCTCTGTGACCTGACATCTACGTTAGTAAATTAATTATGAAAATACATAAATAGAATATCAAACCATATAGTTTTTTACACAGAGGTGAATCTCAACATCATCTATTCTGCAATTAACCTCAACTAAATAGACATATAAGCAGAGGTTATGACATAAGTAAGTTTTTATGGAAGAAATCTTTTTTATTCGAAATCGGCCCATGCATCAAATGAACTTTTTTGTTGGAAATTTCGTCTAGAGGAACCTCCCAGAGTTTGGTCATTAAGAACTAAGACACCCTATGTGTGTGTGTGTGTGTGTGTGTGTGTCGAGAGAAATATTTTACAGATCGATGGTAGATATCAAGATCTATAAAAAAGTTCATGTTCATATTTTTTTTAAACGAAACTTAGCTTTGTCCGCCCAATAGTGCTCTTTAAATCGATTTGAAAATGACCAACACCACATTGACTTGAAGTAAATTTTGTCTAGTTTACTATGGAGTAATGTATTAATACATAAACTAAACATTTTTTAAGTTATCGCTTTCTATTCAACAAAAAACGTTACTCGCTTTAAAAAAAAACACAAATCTTAAATTTCCTTATTTTCTGCTGGAAATTGGACAAATGTTTATATGTACTCTTTGTAGATCTTGATGTCTTCTAGCAACCTTTTAAATATTTTCCTCTATTTAAGGGACACTCCGTGTATATTATTATTATATATATATATATATATATATATATATATATATATATATATATATATATGTATATATATATATTGCCTATAATGTTTGATAAAGCAGTATTTTATATACATAGTGTATTTTAGTTATCAATTTATCACGATACATCCTAGATCATTGGAAAAAAGAAGAAGTTAAAGTTTTGGGATAATTTATTGTAATTAATTTTGCTGTAAACATACTTAGGGCTGACAGAATATTAAAATACTCTTTTTTCGGTTTCTTTTTGAACTAAAAGTGAACCTCAACTTTTTCTGTAATAAACCTCAACTTAATTAATATTGACTTAAAGCTTATTAAACAAAGAAGTTTTTCTAAAAGGGGTGTCTGTACTCTAGTAGGGAGATGAAAAAAAAAATTACGAATTATCATTATTTTTATAGAAAAACAGAATTTAGTGTAGTTTAGCCACTCAAAAGTCCCCTGTAGGAGGTTTAGAAAAAAAAACTTTATTCGCATTTAAAGGAAATTTTGTTCAGTTTACTGTGATAGCAGAATTTAATATATTTTATATATCGCTTTCTATTGAACAAAAAATGCGATTAACAAAAAAAGAAATAAATGAATTTTCTGCGGAAAATCTGACCATGGTCTGTGTAAACTTTTACTGTTATGTTAATTACTGAAGTCTGTTAACACCTCTTTGAATATTTCCTTTTACTAACGAGATGTCACTCTATATATGTGTATGTTTTATATATTTCTGACTGTTTTAAATTATCTTCCAAACATCTTAAAGTATGTAATAATAATTATTATTGTTATAGAACATTAATTATAATTAAGTATTGTTTTTGAACAATAGCGTAGCTCTAGAAACTTTTGCCTGGCCACCTCCAGAACATTTGTTCAGATACACATCTGAATTGTCATTTTATCTCATCATTTTTCTCCTTATTACAGCACACGTCTTTCATACCTCGTTAATTGTAATTATGTAGTAATTATGAATTATTCTTTCAAGTAGCTTGTACCATATATTATCTTCAAGTTTCCCGAGACCTTGAAAACATTTTACGTGCTCAAATTCAGCGGACAAGTATTATCAAATATTTTCAATACTCGAAGCTGATAAGAGAAAAACATGGATAACACACGATTTCAAGAAAACAGGAACTTTGATTAAGCTGCTGAAACTACTTTATTCAAAAGGTTTTAACAACGATAAATTCTAATTAAAAAAACAAAAAAACTTGTGCGCGCAACACACAACTTTCACTTACCGCTCAACTTTGAATAGAAATTATTTTCTAGCCATGTTGGGCTATTATAAAATCTTTGAATTGCATTTTTAACTGAGCTAAAACTAAAGAATTACAGCGAGCAAATCATAAATACCATTAAAATAAGAAAAGTCCTATTTATTATATCACCGGTTGATTTTGGATTGTACGTTCCGTTGATTATGGATTGTACGAATATTACTTATTAAACTGTTATTTTCCATTGCAAAGTTTACTAAAACGGAATTCAGAAATTTGCATTGTCTGTCATTGACAGGTCAAAAGTTTTCATACTAATTGGAAGTAAATACTGTTGGAATATCATAAAATAAAATTTCATCAAACTATTCACTAATTTAATTTTCTAAAAGGTTATATGATGATTTTTCGGAATAAACGGACGATTGATACTTAATTATTTAAATATAGTATCAGATCTAGAATTATTAAACTACAGCTACAGTAAATGTATTTAAGGTTATAAACTTATGCTTTGTACATCCATGAAATGATTTTATATTTTACTTCTTCTTTCACAAAAGTAGAAGGAAATCATTTTTTTAACAATGCCATTGTCTTGATTAGGTGAATTTTAAATACTTTTTTCAAACTTAACAATATTTTAAAAGTTTACATTTAGTTAGAAAATTTAATTTAATTTCCTTGAAAACGTGTGATTTACGTTAAATATTATTAGTATTCTAAAATTATTATTTATAATTTTTTGCCATTCTCCGTTAACTTCTACAACTTTCTATATTAGATATTGCTTTTTCTAAAATTCTCCGATTTTCAACAACATATTATACGTATACCTTCTGAATAGTATCTTTGGCGATTCATTTTCGACCTGGAAAAGCATTTTTATTTTTTTCTCCTTTATTCAATTATCAAATTCTTTCAAAAGTTATATTTAGAATTTTTTCATAACTCTTAATAATCAGAGATAGTTAATTATTTAAAATAAATCATATTAAAGTTACTTTAGAGGAAGACGCATATTAACATTGGGCATTTAAGCCCTCTAGTGACATCAACGGGGATAAGACTTAAATGATATAAAAGCCTACTTAATTATACAATGTTACACTGAGTTTAATCAAAATCGTTAGAGCTGTTTTTGAGAAAATTTGAGAGCTGTCACATCTAACTCATATACCACCTATCTTAGATACGTAATATCGGTTTCGTACGACCTTTTGTTTTTGAGCTAGACTGCTAACATACACACACACAAACCATTTTTCGGGACTTGGTAATTTGGAATCAGGGTACCCCAAAACGTGTATTTCCGTAGAAAACATAGATTTAAAAATTTTCACGATCACAATACTTTTACGTTACTATATATTACATATATACGCAAGTGAAATTAAGAATTGTGTCTCGTTTTCAATGCTCAAAGTTAGGAGCTAACTTTAATAGTTTTTAAATTATCTTTTCCAATTCAACTAAATACGTGACAGACTTAAACAACATTTGAATTTACTTCATCTCTGTTAGGAATTGAACTACAGCCCTATTAACATTTTCTGTTGCATTTAAAGTCTACCAATACTTCCTAAACTTCGTACATTATGCATGCAACTACTACTCTTGATGAAAGTTCAAGTTTGTAATCAAAACTACATTATTTAATAGATATTTTTTGGCTTATATGAATTCTTTGTTTTTTATTTTTCTAATTATTTTAAATTTTCTATCTCATTCGTTTATTTTTCATAATTTATTTTTTTTCATATTCCTCTATGCTACATTTTTTTATGTATTTATATGAATGCAGCAGTCTACTGTACTCCTATTTTCTACCATATTAATAATTATTCTTTGTTGTTTTTATAATAGAATGGGTGTTATTTTCTTGCTAAATCACAATGAAGGCATATAATTTACAAGATAGGCACACATTAAAATAAAATTTACACTTATTGTATGCTTTTGTTCTTAAGAGAAGCCCAAACAAATTCCTAATACGTCTGCCATATTTTTCGTAGAATCTATAATTCCATCATGAGAAAAATTGCTAATGGTTTTTTAAAATATGAGTTAGAAATATGGCATCCTGGTAAGTTGCACTTTTCTAGTTACTAACTGATTTATTAGAACTATATCTAAAATATCACAGAAATTTACCAGCAGATTCAATGACCTCCTTTGTTATTCTTTTTCTTCCAGATACAAATAACGCATCTTTTCCAACCATCTTTTTTAATAACACTTCATCAGGAATCTCATTCTCTGAATTATAAATTTCAACATCACACCTGATAAAACAATATTAATCAAAACAATATGAAAGCTTATATTCAAATAATTGACAACAAAACAAGATTAAATATAGCCAGCAATCACCTATCCCTGAGTAATTTAATTCCACCTTCTGGAAAATCTGGTCGACAAACCAATACCTTCGGACGGTTAGCCATTTTGTGGAACCTGAAAGTTCAATAGTTAATTAAACAAGGATTAATTTTATAAAGTTAAACCACAGGATAAAATATTTTGTTATTGGTCTGATCTAATTTCTCTTAACATCAAGCTGTAATACATTAATTAAAAAATCAATTTTCGATCATTTTCCAATTAAATGCCTCATCAAAAAAATCTTATCATGTTTATAATTTTCTTACTTAGAAGTAACAGAAAAAGTTCAATAAAGTTACAGTTAATAGTTATAAAATATTACAGGTAATGGACCGGTTACTCCTTTATGGGGTTTTATTTCCCTCCCCTCCTCCAATGCATTACACATTGTTATCATGTATTGATCGCTGTTATCATGTTAAACAAACGTCGCTCCCCAAATATTTTCCAAGTGTCAAAGCCTATGACGAGTTTCGAATACCATTTGACAATATAGATATAATTAGATTGCGCAATGGAGGAATATTGCTCAGTGAAAATAAAATAAATTTATATATGCCTAAATCAAGTAATAGAACAATGGAAACGAAGATATTCCTGAATCGAAGGAAATAGTTCTTCTAATTTAATTTTAGATGCTATAGAATATATGAGAGGATACATTGTGCGAAGACGAGGGAGGAAAGTAAAATTTTTTTTTTTTTTTTTTTAAACTTCTATTACGATATTTACAACTGTATTAGTATGAATACATCTAGTAAATTTGTACAGAGAAATATTATTACATGAAACACGCTTGTTGAGAAACTACCCACTGGTAGCACTATAATAATTTGTCTACATGAGAAGATCACGAGGCCATCTTCTTTTCAGACGCCTCGGAGGGTTATCAGGAATCGAAGAGGAAGCAAGGTTAGAAACAAGAGGATTCGGATGGTTATGAAGTTTATTATGGAAGGATAGGTATCTGGATTTGGCCAAATCGGAAACATATGGTACATTGAGGTCTTTATGGATTATTTTATTAGTGACAAAGTAAGAAGCATTGAGGATTTTACGAAGGATTTTGGATTGTAAGGATTGGATGCGAGAGGAATTCGATGGTTTAGTGGAGCCCCATAGCTCCACTCCGAGTAAAATGTTAAACATGTTTAAGAGCTATCACATGGATAGCCAGAACAACCCTTTGGCATTTAAAAATCAATTTTACGATTTAAAGTCATAGAGGTCTGATATCAGATGTTAACCGCCTACTTTGAAAACAAAAAATAAAAAATAAAATTACTACTTTGCAAATCAACCTAGTAATTTCCAACATCAGGCACATCTCAAGTATAAGTTCCTTTTTAGAGTTACTACATTTAAGCGATAACAGTCATTCGTTTGCCTCGTAAGCTCTTATTTTCTTAGTAGGCGACTACCTCTTCAACAAGCAGTGGTGTCCGGCTTTGGGAAAGAAAATATCTGGTCAGGTAATATAAAATTCATGTACTTGCCGGGTCTATAAAAAAAGATATATATACAGGGTAGTGATATTGCTAGCTGTTTATTGTTGTTAATTATATTCCTATAATTGTTGTATTCCAATTACATATAAATTTAAAAAGCTGGTGCGCGTATCTTACAACTTTCACATACCGCTCTACTTTGAACGGAAATTATTGCCAGACGAAATTTGGCTATTACAAAAATCGTTCGAAGTGAATTGCTAATGGAACTAATACTTAAAGAAAACATTTGTGAATTTAGGTCATATTTATCAATGCAAAAACTAATTAAGATCCTCAAAATAACACAATCCCTATTTATTACATTGAAAGTAGGCTATAAAACCCTCATAACTCTATCAGTCTATTTTGACTAGATAACTCTAGCCTCTCAGAGCTTTATACAATTACATATATTTAATTTACGAATAAGTAACGATTGTAGTACAAATTAAAGGAATTAATTCTCTGACAATTTTTAAATGAACTTAAAATCTTATATTTTCTCTTGTAAAATTTACTAAAATACAGTTACCGGTTCCAGGGCTCTGAAGGCCACTGAGCTATGGGTGAAGGTCCCCGAAGAGAGTTCTAAAATCATTGTTATATATATTTTTAGGACCCCAAAAATAGTTGTTTTGTACTTTTTTATAACTGTAGAACGATTGGGTGGTTGTACTTTTTTATCACTGCAGGTTGATAATGAGGACTCATTTAGACCCCCGAAGATCGTTAGTTTGAATTTGTCTAGTACCGTGGTTTGTTTGGATTCAAAAATAATTGTTTTATACGGGAAGAAGATGGCTTGTAAGCGGAGTGGCCGAATGGGAAGACTTTGCACGTCTTCTTCAGGGCTAGAACGGACAAGATACAAACGGATATAGAAAATAGTGGAAGTTACTTATGAACTTCACTATGCATATTACAATATTTTCCGGCTCTTAATGCCACTGACCGCTTCTATTGTTTGCTTTTTTTATTATTATTTTTTATTGGTATATAATTAAATCTGTACCTCTAGCATTTGACAATGATGAGTCTACATATTAATCATTATTTAAAGACACTGATATTTTATATTGTCAGCTTTGTTTTTTCTTTGTTAGCAGAAACACACCTCATTTTAAAGAAGAACTCAATGTATTTTTTATTATTTTATTTTTCAAAAGAGTATAATTATAATTTTTCCTACTACACATAGTGTTAAGTGTTTTATCATAGTTTTAAGTGTTTTGTGTATAGATTTTTTTTTTTTTTTTATATAGCTTGTTTAACTAATATTTTCTTTACTTTCTCTTTTTTATTATTGCTTTATTTTGGCCAGATGTAGTATTTTAATTATGTTCTATTTTGTTATTCTAAAGGGACTTTGTCCCAGAATAAAGTTATTTTCTATTTCTATTTCTATTTCTAAATTGAAGTAAAAAAATGGTAACAATTGTTGTAATATAATATATGGAATTATGAATATACTCCTACGGATCTCAAGGAGAGTAGATAAGAAAAGAAAAAAAATAATACGAATTAATTTACATAAAGGGAAGTGAAGAAAAAAAAGGGAAACTAAAACAGTTTTTCCACTATTTTTGTATCTTTTTGACCGCCACCCCGGACTGTCTCTTTCCTCTAAAATATACAGCGGTCAACCATTCAATACCCAATAATTGTTTTATATTCGTTTATTTCCGCAAATTGTTGGTCCCCTTCCGATGGGTTCCCAACATAAATATTTTGTACTTTTTTATCACCGTAGAATGATATACATATATATTGTTGTGATAAGGAGGCCCCACCTCAGACATTAGCCTAGAACCACCAAAGATGCCAGTTAATACGTGACCTGATGGGTTTTGTGGGTCACACATTCTGTTGCTCATCACGTGGTTAATTCTGTGTTAGATCCTGGACTACCAGGTGATCATTTAAATTTATAAATGAAACTAAATAATGATTAAATCGCACAATTCCATAGTCTATTATCGTATGCTGGATTATTCAATTTAAAACAAAACTACTTGTAATAATTAAATACTTGCAAAGAATATTAGAAAGTTTAATAAACAGATATGGAAATAAAATATTGGACATTTAACTAAACTGTACTTACTTTAGATATAAAAGGTTTTCAGCAAATTCTCAGAACCTGCACATAAATGTAGAACCACAATTAAAGATTAAATATTATCAGGTAGTTTACTTTATCTGATAATAGAAAAGCGATATAAAGATTTGGAAAGCGATAAAATCCACGGGTAATGGTCAAGATGCGTACTCGTCAATGAATGATTTAAACCAAACAACGATTACAGTAATTTTCAGTTTGCAGGTGAGAAGCATTTTAATATATTACGAAGACCAATCATTGATGTTAAATTAGTCAACCCAATTTATCATCCTTATCCTAATACTTATTCTTTTAGACAGTGGTGTAAAACACTTCAAATTATTACACAATGGTTTTTTATTTACTAATAGTTACGAATCAAATGTTTGTGGCGTGTCACACTACTTTTCTTACCACTTTCAGAGAAAACTAAAAATACAAGTTGTTGGCATACTCGTAATGTTTTTTTTTTCTTTCTTCCTCTATACCGAGGGTAGGGAAGCATTGTGTTCGTGCGAGAGGTTAAAAACAAATTCGTGCTCAGAATCAAAAATTTCCACTCGTGTTTTACGTTTCAGACATCAAGGATCCAATTTGATTCGGTGTCTGTATGTAATCAAATCAATGCGAGGAGTATTTCACCTAGTACCATTCATCCGATTTTCATGGCTTATGCAAATTGGTGCCTAGATGGTTCCATATCAATTTTATCTAGCACTTCCGTTTACGCAGGCGCAAACGTATTTTTTTAGATATGCCAATGTTTCAGAAAGGGCTCGTTTGATTTGGCTGAAAGTTAGATAAAAGGTAGGTAATGGTGAAAACGTAATGTCAATTCTGTTGAATTCTGCCCACTAATTTTTCTTACATATGCGCAAACGTGTTTTCCTTGATACGCATATATCTCTAAAACTGATGTTCGATTTGGCTCAAATTTGGAGGAAAGTTAGGGATTGGTAAACATATAATCAAGTAGGTATGATCTCCATTCTAATTCTATCCACTTCTCCTAGCAAAAATACTTTCGCTTTCGGATCAGCAAACGTATTATTTGGCAAGCCTATAGTTTGAAAACTGCGCATTCAATTTGACCCAAACTTGGAGGAAATTTGGAGAATAGTATAGAAATTTCCTAATATGAATTTCATTGAATTCCATTTAATAATTAAAATTAATATAAATAATTGTTATCAATATAATGGCAGTGAAATGTGAAAGGCAATGATCATATGGAATGGGAGTTATACTATATTTTTATGGGGTTATAAAATTTTAGGTTTTATTCAAAGAGTTAATTTATACTGTATTGTTTCGTCGATTCCAAAAGTTACTTAGATTTCGTGTAATTTTCAACAAATTTTAATTAATTTTTACTCTGAGTCTGTAAAAAAGAAAAGTCTTATTTGTAATTGTGTTTATTTCTACTAAAGTTCAACCAGCTCGTCGTGGTATCGTGTTTATGTGTGATTTTTATATATATTTTTATATTCCAGCTTAAATAGTTTTGTTCTGACTGAAGAAAAGTATTGGTCTCGATAACATTGAAAAAACAAAAGTTTAGTTTATCTTTTTTCTCTTGTGGAGTTTTTGTAAGATTGATTTTACGAGTAAAAACATGCTAATTAAGTACATATTACTAATGTTAGTGCAAAAGGTCGTAAGCATTCTGCTACGATAAAAAATAGCAGAGGGCAATAAATTATGAAATTATACTAATAAATCATAACGAAACAATTAGTTTTTATGGTTTCCTGTAAAACACTCAATGATTACTTACGACTTTTTTTTACTTTCCTACCTATCCTAGGTAAGGAAAGTATTGCAATCGGGTTAAATTTCCGACATGCTGTTTTCGACGGATCTATACGTTTCACAGCCCCCTGAGTCCGAAAAACACATTTTTAGCCATTGGTCTGTTTGTCTGTGCCAAGATTTTCTCGGGAACTACTGAACCGATTTTGTTGCTTCTTTTTTTATTTTGTAGGGTTTTGACTACCGATGCCTGTGACAGAAATTTGGTGCTCCATGCGCAATAGCTTGCGCGCAATAAATGAAAAACACGTTTTTCTATAGACTGTAGCGCAGAAACGGCTCTAACGATTTTGATTAAACTTTCCTATAATGTCCTAATCATTGCCCTTTCAATTTTTGTATATGGACTAAATTCCCGAAAAAATTCAGAAAAATAGTTATAAAGAAAAGAAAATTTTTATGGGACCTAACTCGCTAAGTATATATTATACGGTAAAATTTGTAATAAAACTTTTGAAAGGTAATTAAATTACCAACAAAACGAAAATAAATCATTGGAATCGAACCAGTATTAGCGATGATACAGCTTATTCTATTTTTTACACATTTTTTAAACTTATTTTATTACTTTCCTACCTATATGTAAGGAAAGTATTGCAATCGGGTCAAATTTCCGACATGTGGTTTTCGACGGATCTATACGTTTCACAGCCCTCTGAGACCGAAAAACACATTTTTAGCCATTGGTCTGTCTGTCTGTGCCAAGATTTTCTCGGGAACTACTGAACCGATTTTGTTGCTTCTTTTTTTATTTTGTAGGGTTTTGACTACCGATGCCTGTGACAGAAATTTGGTGCTCCATACGCAATAGCTTGCGCGCAATAAATGAAAAACACGTTTTTCTAGAGACTATAGCTCAGAAACGGCTCTAACGATTTTGATTAAACTTTCCTATAATGTCCTAATCATTGCCCTTTCAATTTTTGTATATGGACTAAATTCCCGAAAAAATTCAGAAAAATAGTTATAAAGAAAAGAAAATTTTTATGGGACCTAACTCGCTAAGTATATATTATACGGTAAAATTTGTAATAAAACTTTTGAAAGGTAATTAAATTACCAACAAAACGAAAAAAAAATCATTGGAATCGAACCAGTATTAGCGATGATACAGCTTATTCTATTTTTTACACATTTTTTAAACTTATTTTATTACTTTCCTACCTATATGTAAGGAAAGTATTGCAATCGGGTCAAATTTCCGACATGTGGTTTTCGACGGATCTATACGTTTCACAGCCCTCTGAGACCGAAAAACACATTTTTAGCCATTGGTCTGTCTGTCTGTGCCAAGATTTTCTCGGGAACTACTGAACCGATTTTGTTGCTTCTTTTTTTATTTTGTAGGGTTTTGACTACCGATGCCTGTGACAGAAATTCGGTGCTCCATGCGCAATAGCTTGCTCGCAATAAATGAAAAACACGTTTTCTATAGACTGTAGCTCAAAAACGGCTCAAACGATTTTGATTAAACTTTCCTATAATGTTCTAATCATTGCCTTTTCAATTTTTGTATAAGGACTGAATTCCCAAAAAAATCAGAAAAAAAAGTTATAAAGAAAAGAATATTTTTATGGGGCCTAACTCGCTAAGTATATATTATACGGTAAAATTTATAATAAAACTTTTGAAAGGTAATGAAATTCCATAAAAAGCCATATAAAAATCGTTCATTTTGGACAACTATTAACGAAGTTACAGCTATTCAATTTCCAATGAAAGATTACGAGTTTACTGTAGCCCGCATCACACAATCTTCACTATTTCCTCTACTTTTAACAGAAATTATTGTTTGACAATACTAAGCTATAGCAAAAAGTTTTTGATCAGAAATATTAGTGAGTATCGAAATTTTTATTCTGATCTACCTTAAGCCGGTTTCATTGCCTTAGTTAATCTAATAAATTGTACTCAAATCTTTTTTTTGATCAATTTTCAGGAAAATAAATGTAGTTCAATTCTTTTTTGTTTCTTCATGAACATATGTAAAGATATAAAAACTTTTCTGAAACAGGTAGGAAAGTCGTGTGAGTGGACACACCAGATTTTTTGAATTAACAATGGTGATAATCATGTTCATTACGTTCTCGATTTTTTTTTCAATCCCGAGTCATCAAATATGCAATCTGCATATGCGGAACTTTTTCGCACTTCAGTATTCGCTGATAAACAAAACTCGTGGATCTCAAAACAGTATATGTTGAGGGATTACTGAATTTCCGAAAAAGGTTTCTCCCAGAGATTTTATTCTCATACAAAAAATTTTAGACCTTGTAATATAGATATTTTTTAGCCAATGCAAACGGAGAGGAAGCTGTACTGACCTTCCTTGGCAGACGTTTTCCAATATAGACAATTTAATTTTTCCTCAAATGACAAACTCGAATGCTTAGATGTAAAGTATTCGGTTCATAGGCTCATAGATATCATTTTGATTGGCGAGTAAGGCATACAAAAAAATTATACATCTTTTATGATATATAAAGATTAACATACAAAACCAACATGTTTATTGTAAAACGAATAATAGAATACTGTATATTTAAAAATAAATCTATACACATTTTTAATGTTTACGTTTTTTTTTTTTTTTGCTTATGGGTATATTTGAAAATATGTTAACGAAACAATGATATTTTGGCAAGCCTGTAGTTTGAAAACTGCGCGTTCAATTTATAAAATTAAATTAAATTTAAAATTAAATTGCCGGCAAAAAATTGTAATAATTTTAGAACAGTTTAACCGAAACAAAAAATAATTTATAGGTATTTAAGGCTCTATCAACTTCACGAAGAAGTAACCTGATATCTGTAAACAAATTAGAACCAAACATATAAAATAAAAAATATTGAAAAATTGTACTTACTTTCTAGTTTAAAAAGCAATGAAATAGAAAAATTATCGAATTGGGTTGGTAAAGGAACAATTCAGCTTTCCAACGGTTGTACAAACGTGAAATGTCGAGGAAATCCTGAGAAGTTATGAATACTTTAGTTATCAGCCGGCGAAAAAATTATCTACGAAAATCAAGTTCAATAATTAAATTCTGCAATTTTCAATTTCTATAAAAATTCAAATTTTTAAAGGTTGATTTTTCTTAACAAAAATTTATTTGGCCTACTTGGAAGGGTCTTTTGCTTTTTGTAATTTATGATACAATTTTCAATGATATAATACTCATTATTATTTTTCTTATACTATACAAAGAATAAATAGTTCGATATTTAATAACCTAAAAATCTGGGCAAAGCAAAGGTGAAATGAATAACATCCATTTTTTCCCCTCTAATCCTGAGGCCAATTAAATGAACGCCGGGTTACGTTTACAATATTTTTCGATGTAGTATCACCAAAAAAATTAAAAAAATTATTGAAATCGATGACACACTGATTGTAGCATCTCCTAGTCGGTGGTATGTCAGTATGGATACCCATGCAACACTTCCATAAAAAACCAATATATTGTTTAATATTAATATTAATATTAAATATTGTTTAATAAAACCAAGCGTTGGGTGATCGAATTTCAACCAAAATTGGGTATAATGGGTATAATTTCCATACCATTAAAAAAATAGTATATTTTACATATTATATTTTTAAATTATATATTATATATATATTTTTTACATATTGTTATTTTTCATTTTGGTAAACTTAACAATGGAAAATAACAGTTTAACAACTAATATGGAGGTTTAATAACTATACCGAAGTTTTTATTGTCGACCATTGATCTAATTAATAGGATTTTTGTTATTTTAGTGGTCTTAATTATTTTTTAGCTTTTAGCTAAACCTAAGTGCATTTCAATTTTTTTTTTAATTGCTTAACATTACCAGAAAATATTCTATTCAAAGTAGAGAGGTAAGCGATATTCGTGGGTTGCTCGCACCAGATTTTTTTTTTTAGTATGTTACATCAACTACTCTAGCTATCAAACTATTTTTTCAAATTTAAAATAGAGTTAACGGTTTGAACATTTTAATTTTTACGACAGCTATCGTCGAAAATCGCTTTACACGCTCATAGCTTTGGAACTAAATATTGCTAAGAGATGGGATGAATGAATTTCGAAATTCCCCGTTAAAATATACAGAACTAAAAATCAACTAAATCGGACTACTCGTTTAAAGGTTAACATAAGAGCCATGCAAAATGTGTTACATTTTAAAAATAAACTACCATTATTATAACATGGAGGAGGACGAAACTGGATCTCGCTTCGTCCTAAAATTTGCTTCGGTCCGACACTGTACGGCTCCGTACACTTTAGGACGGATTCGGGTAATTTCGAGGCTGTTATCTTGCAGTAACGAAACGAAACTAATTCCATGTTAGATATTAAAGTAATTAATGTCTTAACATGAAGGGTATTAATTTAAATATATGTACTTGCAAGCTATTTAATCAAGATAAATATTTATTCCTTTCATATTTTGTATGACCTTGCTATATATGTTATGTAAAAAAGGATATGAGATAAAACAGCAGGAAGAGGTGTTGGACTAAAAGAGGAGTGAGTGCTTTAGATAAAACATTGTAGGAAAAAAATAACAATAAATAGAAATCGGAACAGAATTCGTGTGCTACAATAACAGATGCTCCTGT